CTACCCACTTAATGGAACCCGTGAACCTCCTCCTCCCCTATTTAAATCAAGATATCCCAATCCATTTCCATCACAAACAACTCTCTAAATATGAAAGTCTGAGCTCACTGTCTGAGAAAAACACCAAGAAAATGTCCTCAATGGAGAAATTTTTCTTTCTCACCCTCATAGACGGCAATGGAGAAAAGCCTAGTGAGAAGGAAAGTAATTCAAAGTTTATGGTGCAATTCTCGGCAGTAGAGAAAGTTTATGGTGTAATTCTCGTATTTTTCAGGATTATACCATACACTTTCTCTGGAACAACACTCTCTCTATTTTTCTTTTTATTTTTACCTTGATCTCTTTCCCCTCCCCTTTCCTTTCTTTACTTTTTCTAAATCTTTTTTGAGCAGTCCCCCCAATTTTCTTACAAGTTTTTTTTGGGTGGTGCCTCTGCTCCCTTCTCTCAAGGAGTTCTCAAAATTTTTTTTTAGAACTCTTTTTCAAAATTTCTTTTAAAATTTTTTTTGTGTTTTTTTTCTTCGTCTTTAAAAACTTTATTTTATCTTTTTCACAATCAATTCTCTTTTCCAAAACCTTTTCCTTCTGTCTCTTTCCTTTCATACACCGCCGCCTCCTTTCCCTCCGCTTCTCTTCGTTTTTCATTCTTGCTTTTGTTTTTATTTTTTTGAGAGACGTGTTGCTTCCTAGATCTTGGTTATCCACTTTGGATAATAAAGATCTATCAAACGAAACGCCAACCGCTCCGCCAAGCAGAATCTGCTGAAGCTGAAAACGGTCAACGGCGGAAGATATCACAAAATCTCAAGACAAGACTTGGTTTAGGAATTATTGTAATTTGAATTGTATTTGCTTAAGAGTTTTTGTTAACAAGCTGTATATTATGAGAAACTAAAAGAAAGTTATAAAAATAGTTCTCAGTACAGCGACCGGAACTCTTAAACACTTGTTTGTCATCATCAAAAAGGGGGAAATTGTTGGGAAAAATATAGATTTTGATGATGATGTATTTAGAATGTATTAGGGACTTTAGGTCTCCCCCAATATTCAATGTAATTTTTCTTTTTAGAAATATTGTCAAAACCGAGCTCTTGAGATTTCCAATAAAACTGTGATATTTCTTTAAGCGTTTTGGTGCCTGAAGACTTAATGAAATTCAGTGATATGGAAATTGGATATCTTGATCGGAAATATCAGAGACAAGTAAGGATTTCCCAATCAGATGAAAATTCTCAGACCCGGAAGACTACGTAAGAACCGGATGTCTCGCTACAACCCGCTGAAGGCTAAGTCATCCAAATCGGAAGACTAGCGCGGATCTCTTTCTCACCCGGAAGTCTGAAAAATGACTCCTCCGGATTTGTCAGCTAAGAATCGGAAGACTCATTGAAGACCGGAATTCTCAGAAAGCGGACAAGTGAGAAAAGACTTAGAAAAATTATCTAAGTCCTGAATGAAGAAATTCTACCCGTTGGTAAGGAAGAATCAATCTCTTGATTTTCAACGGCTAGATTGAAGATAATTATGCTGATTCAAGAACAAATTACTCGAAGACAAAGTCTGGCCCTCTAAATTGAAGAGCCTGCCCAGAATTCCTAAACAAGCACTAGAAGACAAACAGAGTAAAGTGCTACAGTTCAGAATTCTTGAACAACAGCTAGAAGACGGATTCTGTGATTAATGGAATCACTTCTCAAACAATTGGGTACGTCCAAACACCCACTTCAACAAAGAATCTTCAAATCACAATCTTCATTCAAAATTGAAGCCAGCAAATGCAACGGATAGTCTATTATGATTCAACGGATAGATTATCCAATCCAGCTATAAATAGCATCCTTGGAAGACTGGAGAAGGTATGAATGTTGAGATACATTGATACAACAACACAACGAAGCAATCTAAAACAAAGCTATCTCATTCACAGTTAGCCCAAAAAGCTTGATAAAGAGAGATTTC